ACTGACCTCATTAAATTTTTTTTAAAAAAGTTACATTTCATTATATTTTATTATAAATTTAATTACTCCCTTCAATTTTATTTATAAGTTATTTTTACTAATCTCATCAATACCAATATAATAAAAGTATAAAAATAAAATTTTATAAAATTACAAACATAACCCTCAAAAATAAATAAATTATATAATATTATTATTCATTTATTCTATTTCTCTCTCTCTTATTTTTAAAGGATAGTTTAGACATTTTATTTGAAACAAAACATCACTATCAGTCCAATTACTTATAAAGTGGATCACTTCACCCATCTAGAAGGTGACTTATAAAGTGGATTGAAGGGAGTATTTTTTTTAAAAAAATTATTATCATTATAATTATTGATTTAATTTTTTTTCACATATTGATAATATGATAGGATGAGAGTGAATTTTTAAAAAAATCATACAATATAAATTGAGGTGTAAAATTATTTTTTACAAGAAAAAAATTTAAATTAATGTATAGTATAATAAATTAGTTGTTACCTCTCCTCCTAAACTAAACAAAGGATCATTAAACATCCTTTCCTTTTTTATTTCTCTAACAAAACCGAACAAGATAACATTAAAACCCTCCCCTCCCTTTCTTGAGGAATAGAGTGGCGCTACCAGGATTAATCAATTCACACACAAGCGAGTCGTGACCGAGGCTGAAGATGAGGAAGTTTCTCGGCCAACCTAAGGATCTAAGCACATGGAATGCGACTTGGATCTTCGATAACGATTGCTAGGGGGCAACCTTAGCGGTGGTGTAATGGAAGCATGGAGCATAGCCTTAAGTTGGCTCGACGTGGAGGGAAGATCCTCCGCCGCACCACCCTTAGCTGCAGAGACAGAACACAATAGGCTGATAGCGTTCCAAGTGACGATGGATATGCACAAGGCTCCACCAATTTAGCTGATCAAAGTGAAAACCAAAAATCATGGTTTCTTCATTCCCTCTTCAACATTCAGTTCCTTCTTCCCCTTCTTCCTTGTCTCTAGATCTAACTTTGAGGGTGGTTTTGTCCATTAATTCTAACACAATTTGTATTTTTAAGCAAATACTCCCCTATTTCAATTTATAAGTCATTTTCAATATATTTTATCAGAATTAAGAAAGCCTCACAACTTATTAATTTTATTTAAAAATTTAATAAATTATTAAATTTGTTCATATTAAATATACATATTTTCTTTCACAAACATTTAATCGAAGATGAAATAGAAATTTTGTGATACAAATTTAATAGTGAAACTTATAAAAAAGACCCAAAAAAAAAAAAATCTTCTTTCCCAACATAAATAGAATTAGAGATAGTATATAAAAAGTATTGCTTATTTTACAAGTTTTCTTATGATACAAACAATTTATAATTCAAACCAAAGATTCATAATTCACATTATTCAAAACCGTAAATTTATGTCTTAGACAATTCAAACACAATACTACTTAATACTTACAATTCAAACCATGATTTATAAAATTCAAACACTACAATCCATCATCTAACTAATTAAATCTAAGAAGTTTTAAAAAATAAAAAATGCAGATCCTTTTTTCTTTTTTGGGCCAAGCCACTTAACCTTTTTGCCAACTATCTGAACCATATGTTTTAAAGCACAGTATTTCCTCCCAAACAAAATATAATACTTTTGCTGAATTATATTTTGGTCAAAGTATAAGTTTCATCACTTAGTAATATTCAAGGCATTAAATATTTTATCTCTTTTCATTTACCTCCTTATATACAATTGAAGGTGAGAGAGTTATCTTAAAATTTAATAGGGACAAAAATAAAAAGTAATGCCATAGTTTTAGGAGATCAACAATATGTTTAATCCAATGGAATATTCATGTAAAACCCTCCTCGTTTTGAAAAGTCTCCCATGGAATATTCATGCGAAGCAAGTCAGCCAAACCAGTCATTCTTTTTATTTTCCTCTATTTCTAACTTTCTTGGCTCAAGTTCACATTTAATCGTTTAAATTTATATAAAATTTTATTTTAGTCCTTTATATAAAATTTTTAAATGAAATTTTATAAAATATCTTTTTAATTATTTAACCTTAACATTGTTAATTTCATCAACAAAAATTCCTACTTTAAATTTTTAAATATTAATAAAAAAATTTTAAATGTTGACATATTAGATTTAATTTTTTAAAATAATAATAATTGGTACAAAAATAATCTTATGAAAATGATGATGTCAAAGTTAAAAGATTGCAAATATATTTTGATAAAATTAAGAGACTAAATTAAAATATCATATAAAGTTAGAGGATAAAAATACCCATTAGCTTTTTTATTTTTAAATTTTTTTAATAATTTATAGATACATTTTAGGGAATCATATCTACTCACGTAGTTACAAGCTAAATTGCCATAAGATGGGCTTAATTTCATAATCAACTTCTCATTCACATTTTGGCCCTTGTCCAATAGGTTTTTTATATTTTTAATTTCTAGGGCTACTGCCCATCTCAATTTTTTTTTTTTTTATAAAAGGATTGAATTCATAAATAAGGAGAAGCTTATCTTGATTTGTCAAACGTTTTTTTTTTTAATCAAGTATCAATGACGTGATTAACAGGCTTGCAACATCTGAGTCAAAAGGATGCCGTTTTTTTGTCCTCTTGATCCACAAAATGAAAAACAAAACAAAACAAAATAAAATAAAATAAATAGTTTCAAAGATTAAAATTTGGGGCAAAACTTACATGCTTAAAGTTATATCCTTGTTATACTTTCCTCCAATGAATTATTGCCACCTGGGGGTGTGTTTGGATTTCAATTAAAAAAAATTAATTATAGAAAAAATTGATTATTAAAACGTGATGATGTTTGGATAAATTTTTAAAAATTGATTTTTATAAATTAAATATGTTTGGATAATTTTTTGAGAATCAATTTTGAATGTGCAAATAAATAATACAAAAAAAGGGACTCAAATAGAGTTTTGCAAATGAAAGAAATTTCAGCTTCTCTAAAATGAAGTTTTCCAAGCTAAATAAAGTTTTATAAAATGAAGATGTTTGGATAAATTTTTGCAAAACCATGATTTTAATCCCAGAATTTATTCCTAATGAGTATCCAAAAGGCCTGGGTGATTTTTCCAGCTTACCAATTTGCTATCCTTAACAGAGTTTTTCACCTTCAGCTTTCAAAAATGGAAAGAAAATCAATAAACCTAATTTCTATCACAATTGTAGCCGCTGATGTATTTGATGCCCCTGTTGCTACCGCTGCATGATTTTTGAAGAGGTGATCTTATTACAGCAAAGCAAAGCTAGTAAGAAGAAAGAAGAACAAGTGAGGGGCTTTGTTTTTTTGTATGAATATTGCATTGCTAGAACAAGTGGTGAGGGAAATTGTTGTTGACGAAAATTCAACTAAAAGCGAGTTTCGCAGAAAGAGTGGTATACCTATTTGGATGAAAGAGTCCAAACTTCTAACTTCATCTAAAGCACAATAAATGAAAAGAAAATTTGTCTTGACACAGCTAGACAGCTAGTGCATGTGAAACTTCAGTTCAGGAGCATCAGGCTCAATTGAAATCACAAGCCAAGTGAAGGGAACCAAGTCAACAGGGAAGCAAGAGAAAGAACTGTCTCAAAGCAACTCGCTCGATCCTTTAGCTGCTGTGCTCATAATCAGCCAAATTTTAATTTCATTAAGGCTTTCTACGTTGGTGCTCTTACACGGTATAGTCACTGCAACACTATCCCAGATACTTGCTCTCTAAAGACTAATAACAGAGCTGAAAAATTTTATAAACAAAAGAATCAATGACTCTAAGAAATTGTCCAACGATCACATAAAAGGTATGAAAACAGAGTTTCAAATGACTTGCATCCACTGCTCCTCTAGTTTGCCCCCAAATAGAGTTTCAATTCCCTTTTACCCCCAAACAATTCTTGCCATCATTAGACAATGGAAGGTGAAGAATGGTGTTGCAGCGGCAGCAACAGGGGAGCGTCAAAAGCATCAGTGACTGTAAGTTGGGACGAAAAGTAGGTTTATAGTATTTCTTTCCATTTTTGAAAGCTAACGATGGAAAACTTTGTTAATGAGAGGCAATTGATGAGCTGGAAAAATCATCCAGGTGACAACAATTTATTAGAGGAAAGTATATCAATGATATAACCTTAAGTATGTAAGTTTTGTCCTAAAATTAGTACCTTGCACTAGCCTTTAAAAAATACTCCTCTCAATTTTTATTATAAGACACATTTTAATATAAATCAATGGCCCTTAATATATGATATTTAATAGGATATTAATTATATTTTTTTAAATATTATCTCTATTTAAACTCACTATAATAGAGAATGTAATGCAAATTTTAATTTTTTTAATTTAAATATGGGTTAAATTAAAAGTTTGATTATTTTTCAAAAAAGTTAATGACTCAATCCCCTTTTCTTAGTATTAATGAGGTGGTTAGGGGTGTCTTATAATAGGGGGCCGGATGGAATAATATATACTGTTAAATGAACCAAGGTTTGTCTCTCATAATATGATGAACTAAAGCTTGGACTTCCATTAAAAGATACTTATATTTAGTGCCCTATTGTATATCAAACACAATTGTTTTTAGTAGAATGACACGTGTACACAATAATGGATATTTCTAAATGAGTAATTAATATCTTAAATTAGAAAAAGTGATACACATTTCAAGAACAGGAATTCTGTTTTGTTCAATTACTTGAAGGGTGCTTGCGGTTAGTGCAATTGTTTTTGGTTTCTGTTTGTTGCACTTCCGTTTCTCTGATCCAAATAATAATTCTTTCACTGGCCATCACAGGCCCAAGCAACCGATTTTCGAACGCAAGCATTGAAACTGCTAGACGAAAAGACAACAATGCCCTTGGGACAGAAAGAGAGTCCTCCAGGAGAGTAGCGTCAACATGGAAGGGCATTGGCGTCAATGAAAACAAACGGTTTTGACGGATTTTCCCTCCTTTTTTCTTGGACTTGCTTGTCAACAAATTAAACTTACCTCCCCTCTTCCCCAAAGCCTTGAGGTTGAGGGGTCTCAATTTTTTATTGCAATACAAAATTAGGCAAAGTCGAAAAATCTGCAGAAAAAAATGAATGATTAGAAAATCTGCGGGCAAACCCATTGGTCAATTTTTCGACCAGCAATGGCCATAGCTCCGGCAATCCTCCGGCCAACTCTCCTCTTATTCTCCACCTTCTTCGTTGTCTTTCGTTTGGTAAATTCAATGTCAGAAGTTCAAGCTTTGGTTAATTTTAAAGCATCATTGTCCGATCCTCAAGCTCTGAAAAGTTGGGTGGTTAACTCTGTACCTTGCAAAGAAGGGGAAGAATGGGATGGGGTTATCTGCAGCGATGGATTCATCTCTGGCATTCGCTTAGAAGGAATGGGGTTGTCAGGGAAGATCGATGTAAATCCATTGCTGGAACTTAAAGGTCTTCGAACTTTCAGCATTATGAACAATTCTTTTTCAGGTGCAATTCCGGAAATCAATCGAATAGGTTTCTTGAGAGCTTTGTACTTGTCGGGAAATCAATTTTCTGGCGAGATTCCGTCAGATTTCTTCCAGAAAATGAGGTCTCTGAAGAAACTATGGCTTAACGATAATAACTTTACGGGTCAGATTCCGTCGCAGATTCCTCTACTCCTCGAGCTACACCTCGAGAACAATCAGTTTAGCGGTAACCTCCCGAATCTGAGTAAAACATTGTTGATAGAATTCGATGTGTCCAACAACAAACTGGAAGGCGAAATCCCGTCGAGCTTAACACAATTTAGTGCGAGCTCATTTTCTGGGAATCCTGGCCTCTGCGGCGAGAAATTAAACAAAGCGTGTCAAAATTCAGTTGAGCCGCCAAAATCCGTGGAAAATACGGAACAAAATGAAGACAGCGATGCCGATGACTCTGATTCAAATTCTGGAAGTAAGAGTAGTAACAAAGTGATGATTGCCGCTGGTGTTGTTGCATCAATTGTAGTGTTTCTAATACTTCTAGCTCTACTTTTCGTTCGATCAAGGCGAAAGAAGAAGGAGAAGGGAATACAGGGCTCGGTTAGATCAGGGAACAACAACGAAGAATCATCAGCATCAGTAGAAGTTCAGGTTGCTGCACCAGAGAAGAAGGAAGAGACAAGTATATCCAGAAAATCAAGTCGGAATGGTTCCAGCAGAAGGGGGACCGGCAAGGGTGGCGGCAACTGCGGCGTCGGAGAGCTTGTGATGGTGAATAGTGAAACTTGTGTGTTTGGGATGCTGGATTTGATGAAGGCAGCAGCAGAAGTTTTGGGGAGTGGAGGGTTTGGGTCATCCTATAAAGCAGTGATGGCTGATGGGGTTGCAGTGGTGGTGAAGAGGATGAGGGAGATGAATGTGTTGACGAAAGATGGGTTTGATGCAGAGATGAAGAAGCTTGGGAGTTTAAGACATAGGAATATCTTGACTCCTTTGGCTTATCATTACAGGAAGGATGAGAAATTGCTGGTTTCTGAGTATGTTCCTAAAGGGAGTCTGCAATATTTGTTGCACGGTAGAGACCTTCTTCTTCTTCTTCTTCCTCCTCCTGGTTTTTAACTTAAAGGCGTAACAGTAAAGAGGAGGAATGGTAATCGTATACAAGAGAAGCTTCAATTCCTAAGTCTGTAGCAGAGAATAAAATTCTAGTCACTCAAGGCTTTCCCTCCCTTTTTGTCTGTCATATTGATTTAACACAGGCTAAACTACATTTCTTGTGATTTTGCTAAAAACTTCATTATTAACTTATAACGAGGAATTTTACTCCTTGCAGGTGATCGTGGACCATCCCACGCTGAACTGGACTGGCCTACTAGTTTTAAGATTGTGCGAGGGATTGTTGATGGGATGCTTTATCTTAATACACAACTTGCTTCCTCTGTTTTACCCCATGGCAATCTCAAGTCCAGTAATATTCTCCTTGGTCCTGATTACGAGCCGATGCTGGTTGATTTTGGGTTATGCTCCTTGATCAACCCTACCAATCTAAGCCAAGCCCTATTTGCTTACAAGACTCCTGAAGCCTTACAGAAAGGCCAAGTTTCTCCCAAATCTGACGTTTATTGTCTGGGAGTTGTCATTCTTGAGATCCTCTCTGGGAAATTTCCTTCCCAATATCTCAACAATGGCAACGGCGGAATTGATGTAGTTCAGTGGGCTAACTCAGCCATATCTGACGGAAGGGTATTAGAGATGCTTGATCCTCAACTTGCTAGCTCTAAAAGCTCTATTGGTCAGATGGAGAGACTCCTCAATATTGGTGTTGCTTGTACTGCAAGTAACCCCGAGCAGCGACCACACATGACAGAAGCATTGAGAAGGATAGAGGAAATACAAACGAAAGGTGCCCAGGAATCAGGCTCAAAAGGTCAAGATGATTGGTCCCAGAGAAGTTTTGGATCAAGCAGCGTTGGAAGCCAATCGGGCCACCGGCACACTGATAGTCTTGATTTTGCCATTTCCTAAATCTCTTCACGACCCAAGATATGTGTACATAATTAGGCACTCGATACATCTCTTTGAACTCACAACGGCTAATAGTATAACTTTTGTAAAAACGCATACAAATTTTTACTGATCCCTCGGTTATGGGATTTAGTTTGTTTCCAGGCGTAGAAAATTAAAAGATCCCATGTTCCCGAACATTTTACTGACATAAAATATCTGCCATATTTCTATGAACAAGATCTACCTCAACAAGCAGCTTCAAAGTTGAGCTGTATCCATCACGCATCACAAACGAGACATCCATGGCCGATCAAAACCACCATGAACCTGTAAATACCAGTGAAGCCGAAGAAGCAGTGAAAAACAACGAAGCTGAAACCGAGGGAAGATATGGAGAAGCAAGAATTGGTGGAAGATGTGGCGCAGGCAAAAGTGGAAGCAAATTCTGATGGCTTAACGGAAACCAAAATTGAATCGGTAATGTTGTGATGATGGAGGCTGAACAGAAATTTGGACCCTATCAAACTCTGCGAACGATAAGCAGAATAGCATATTAAGGCCAATTTCTGATTCTCATCATTTCACTTCCGAATCTTCAGTGAAGTTAAATTGCTGTTTGAACATCAAAAAGTAAAAAGAAAGCAATGGTTCCATTTGTTGCTTATCACACTTCAAGTTTCCTTTTCGCGTATCGTAGTGACGCTATGCATGTGATGCTGCCTCGAATTTGAACGCATTTTGGATGTTTACATATTAAACACATGGACATATATAAAATTATGGTGGTACAAAATTTAGGGATAATGAAGTTTCAAAATTGCCAGCTGCAGAAAAGAAGACTGTGATGAGCATGAGATATGGGAAAACGAACAATGAACAAAGAATCAAGCAACAATAGTTAGCATGCACTCGAATATGACTGACTGACATTTCTTTTCATCATGTTTAAGTGAGGAGTACTGGCTACATTTGACTAGGATTTAAAATTATTGGCGCGTTTGATCTATTGTGATATCATTTCGTTACTTCTCTGACCAAAATTAGTATGTACATATATTATAACTGGCTAATATTTTCACCTCATCTCTTCAAAAAAATATCTCGTTGACCAAAGTTGATTTTTAAAAATTTAATCATCAATCTTTTTTACCAGAATTTGAAACTTTATACTCTTTCTGGTTCTATTTATAAGACAAAAAATTTTTTTTTGATCCTATTTATACATCCCATCATTAAATTTTTATTATAAATTTTCTTTTTTCACCATCCATTGAATATTGGGGAGAGAAAACAAAGTTAAAAACTTATTAAATTTTAAAATAGAATTAATAAGTTTTAAAGTTTTCTTTAATAATAATAAAATGTGTTGAAAGTAACTTATAAATAAAACTAAAATAGTAATATGATTGAAATTTGGAACAAAGTTAGAGGTAACATCAAATTTTTTGTTGAAGGACAGAATTTAGGAAAGATATTACCGCACGTGTCAAATTTAGAATTTTTGTTGTCCAATAGAGTAATTTGCAACTTCACTGAATGAGGAAGATAGAAATTAACATGATTGTTAGCTTTCACTGTACATCGAGTATAAAATAAGCCACATTTTTTTATCGCTGAAGAATAACGTGAATTTCATTTTATATAAAATATAGATATAGAGATATTGAAAGGAAGCTATGACAAAATTATTAGAATTACCATAAGGGATTTCGTTTTAGGGGGGAAGGTAACTTCAGACTAAGGCATCATTAAATTACTTGTGTTGAATTGGACAAGTTCAAATCTTAACTGGAATCTAACTAATATTGGATTCGCCCTTCGGGTACTAAAAAATTTCAAGAAAGGGAAGGAGAAGAAGGAAAAAAGAAAAACTAGTACATATGTACTTATACTTAACATCTTGTCCCTCAAGGTACTTTGATCTTTTGTTGTCTAAAACAAAAGCTTCATGTCTAGGCAAAATTTGGATCATTTACTCATTTTGTTATTTATGCAGTCTTCCACAAAGCAACAGGCCAATGAATTTATTAAGGAGTTTGAACCCCCCCCCCTCCAACACACACACAAAGATCAAATGGAATATCAAAAATCCTTATTTGAACATATATCAAGCTGTAGGCTCATATTGGGGGTGGATGTGTGGTCAAAATGGAGCTAAAACGCAAAAAATTGTGGAGGCAGGGGAATAGCAAAAAAATGAAGTTCTAGACAAAAGTGAACAAATGAAACAGATCACATGTAATTTCACACAAGTGCTGATGTAAAAATCCCACCTTTTACCCAAAAATTTGCTCCCTCGTAACTGTTTGCTACCAAAGGCTTAGCTTGAATGGAATGATTTAGAAAGAAAGCAGATATTTTCGCATTTTAGTTATGATATGGAATGATTCAGAGTATCGTCAAATTCCTAGTCATTTTCCAATCCACCTCCTAAATAGAGAGCGAAACCTAGTTCCAGCTGTGAACAAGTCATTTGGGATTTGAGTCCTCATTTTGTAGTCCAAAACGACGCCTGAACTTGGCAATCTGGCCCAAACTCTCAGCCATTTGACGCTTAGCTCGGAAGTGGTAGACTTTGCCAACAGGGTGTATCTTTGTCATCATTACATGCATCAACCTACCACTTTGGGTTACATAAGATATCCATTGCATCTGTGGGTGAACCCCCTTCTTCATCTTATTCCAATCTGCACACACAGAAATTCGAACGAATACTAAATGCACACAGACTCACAATCCGGATCGCAATTACAAGTGAGGAAAAAGCCATGGCAAGTAAGTGCATGTTCAAGCGGTTATCCACATATATTTTCCTTCAGCTTAATCCTCCATTAATTAAACAAGTCTTTCAATTTCTCATTTCATTCCATCTTCATCCATCAATTAATGGAAAACATAACAAAATACAGACACTCATTAACACATAACTTCTACAAACTTAATCTGCAACAACAAAATTCCGATTTAAGAACCCTAAGATCGTGAAATTCAGAAGTTTTATGCCCCTGAAGTTTAACAACTGAATCCTAATTTCGTGAACTTGATTATTTCATGTGTGCCATTATGAATTAATCAAACACTATGCGTGGTGAAGCTTTGCAATTAGTTTTATCCAACACTTTACTAGCTAATGATCATGCAGCAAATGCTTGAAAGACTGTTCAAAAGACCAAACATCGGAGATGCAGGAAGGTGCCAACCTAGGTTGTATAAATACAGGTACGAGTATCAACTATGATATAGCATGATATGGCAATACAAAAAATTTTCAAAAATTTTAGGATACGGGAACGGGGATATATAAAATTTTTTATAAGAATGTAAGTAACAATTTAACTGTTAAAAGTGCATGGCAATTAAACAAAATACAAAGTGACCAAAGTGGCATAACACCCTAGGGGAGTTCTATCTTTTTATAGCTCATTCATAGAAGAATAACAAGCTACTGAATTAATACTTTCCCCACAACTGTTAGTTGGAGCCATATCTAATTAAAAAGAAAAAAACAAATTGAAATAAACTAAAATAAAACAGGATCAGAACCACAGAGAATCATAGTCAAACTAAGTCTAAAATAAACAAAGTGAGAAAAAGTTTCTGTGCATATGGAGAGCAAGATATTAAATTAATAATATAAAATAATAGTCAAACTTTCAAAAGAGCAACAACATAATAAAATAAAAATATGCTTCAGTTACAGGCTATCACAGTAGGCAGAGAAGACGAATGAGATTTTCTAACAAGAGCTCAAGAAGGCAGAGAAGAGAGAAGGCGAGTGAAGGATGGGAACCTGGACCGGACCAATGAGCTGAGCAACCACTAAAGACAGAACGAGACACAACTTGCGAGTTGAGAATGGATGGGTTCACAACAGCGCAAACAAGAAGGCAAGAACAGGGATGAGAGCAACGAATGAGACTAGGGAGAGAATGGAGGATCCGAAGACGTTCGAATGACTGAATGGTTTGCAAATTAGGGATTTAGTCAAATTTTTTACGCAAAACACAGCGTCCTGTGCAGAAGTCATACCCGCCACATCAAAGCCATGTCTCACTGTGTCACTCAAAAAAAAAAAAAAAAGGTGTCAGACACGGACGTACTCGCACAGAGCAAGTGCCCGTGTCCAATACATATTGGACACGAATACATCGACAAAATTGGTGTATCTGTGCATCCTAGGTGCCAACTTCACCCAAGTGCAAAACTGAATAGAAGTAATCAATTTTTGCTCCTAAAGCCAACAGCAAAACGTGTGCAAGTTTCTGCCAAAGCATAAACAAAATAAACAAGCAAAGCATAGTAAGGTGGCCCAGAATTTCATTGCAAAATTTACCAGAACCCACAGCCAAAAAGCACAGGAGCAAAAGTGGATCCATTTTCAACAACAGATTCACCATGAGTCAAATTGTTCAACACTAACAAACGAGAACTTTACAATACAAAGCATGAAAGTGATTTCAAAAATAGAACCACCAAAATCAAATATCAGATGAAGCACAAGGGTCATAAGGAGAGAGACAAATGTATAGGATGGTAGGATCCAGAAATAAACACAACAAATCCCCAGTGCACACACTGAATGAAACTTGGAGTTCGTTTTGGAACTTGCAACGCACAACAAAACAATAGTGAATGAGATGTTGGAAATTATCTAGGTATGCCTTTGTCACATGGCAGATCTAAGAGAAAAGATTACGAGTATGTACTGGAAAAGGTGAAAAGAAGGCTTTCAGGTTGGAAAGCGAGCTGTTTATCTATGGCAGGTGGAGTCACTTTAGCAAAATATGAGCTATGTGCTCAACCCATTTATCCTGTGATTATTGTGAAGCTACCTCTTTCTATTCGTGATGATTTAGAAAAGCTAGAAAAGGCTTTTCTTTGGGGACAAAAGGTGAAGGAAAGAAAATTGCACTTAGTTAATTGGAAGCAAGTGCAGAAGCCAAGGGAGTTTCGAGGTTTGGAGGCCCTTATAAGGGCTATGAATGAGGCTTATCTGATAAAATTGGCTTGGAATTTAAGATCTGGAGGAAGGGTTTGTGAACTGAGGTAATTAGACACAGATATAATGGTAACAAAGACTCTTCTGATGATACTGAGGTGAGAGAGAAGTACTGATTCCAGTTTTTGGAAAGATATAGCTCCTGCATGGGGAAATTTGAAGGGAAATTGTTGGATGGAGGTCTGGAGTGGGGAGGATACTGCTTCTTGGGATGATTGATGGGTGAGTCAGCAAATGAGATTGAGAGATTCTGTTTTGCAGGCGTTACCTCAAGAGACGAGCAAATGGAGGGTCTGTGATGCAATTGATGCAAATGGAGATCAGAGGCGGCTTGATATTGAGCATTTATCTCTGATGAGGCCAAATTCAGGTTGAGTGCTGTGCTCAAACATGATATAAGTGAGGGAATGGATAAAATGTGTTGATCTGGGGGGTAACAGGGTGAATACACAGTCAAAAGTGGTTATAGGCTGTTAATGAAGAATGCTTGGGGGCAGATGGATGAAGTATGGAAATTAGTATGGAGATGGTCAAGCATTGAAAGAATAAGGATTTTTTTGTGGCTTGTGGCTAATGACAGATTGCATGCTAGTGAGTTGAGGTTCACAAGACTCGGTGCTTCACCTGACTGTAAATTTTGTGGGCAAAATGAGTCAGTTTTGCATGTTTTAAGGGATTCTGGTAAAGCCTCTATAGTATGGCAGGGTCTGGTACCAGGAAATTTGAAGAACTGGGATTTTAGTTTACCACTGAGGGGAACGGGTGTTGTGCAATCCAAAGAGAAAGAAGGATCAGGTAGAGCAGATGGATTTGACGATCATTTTTGGTGTAACCTAATGGAACTTATGGGGTGAGAGGAATAGGGGGCTGTTTGAGGAAGGTTACAGAAAGAAGGGAGGTTTTGAATTGAAGTATTAGGTAGTAAATTTCTGCAGTAATATGGTAAAAGCAATGTTTTGAAACCTAAACTAGACAGCAAATGAAAAAGAGCAATGGGTCGTGGTTTTCATAATTCAATCGGTTAGATTGACAGTCGAATTGTTGACATAAAAATTAAATAAAAATAATATTTATATACACAAACATATAAATAAAACATTAATTTATCAATGGTGTTTGGGACCTCAACGCCAAAGGCTAGACGCCTGGACTACTAGAACTAGAGGTAGAAGCATGCCAACACAAGCTCGCGATCTCAAAGCAAAATGCTGGAAATGGAGGCATGCCATCATGTCACGACTCACAAGCTTTCAATTTCGATGCCAAAGGTTGGATCGCTAGAGCGGGAGGCAGAGGCTGGAGAAGAAGTCAAAGATTAAGCCTGTGGAGGAGAAATCAAAGATGCAATAAGAGAAGATAGAAGAGAACCAGAGATTAGAAACAAGAAAACATGATTTTGAGTGACTTAACCTAAATTCCTTTTTTCCCCCACTTTGAACCAGGTTGACTTGCTCTAGTGTCCAAGTCAAATCAAGTTCTCTCAAAATTGGCCGGGTCAACTCAGGTCAATCTGGTTCGAGCAGGTGGCGGTTGGATTGTCTAGCCCAGTCCGATTTTCAAAACACTGGGTAAAAGCCAGTAGTGAAGGTGTTGTGGAAGGTGAGTCACTAAGGATTGTGGGAGTGATTAGATGGTGCCCTCCAGAGCATGGGTGGGTTAAAATGAATTCTAATGGTGCTAGTAGAGGTTTGTTGCCACCTGCTGGCTGTGGTGGAATTCTGAGAGATTGGAATGGGAGATGGATTTTAGGATTTGCCAAAAAGCTTGCCCCTTACTATGCTTTAGAAGCTGAGTTGTGGGGATTTTTTACTGGTTTACAGCAGCGTTGGAGGTTGAGGATTTGCAAGGTAATAGTTGAGGTGGATTCCTTGACAGTTTGCAGGAAGATTCAGAATGAGGAACACCAAATGAGGGATGGTAGCACTGCTGCAGACAATGGTGGGACAGAGATTGGCAAATCTGTGTTTCTCACATTGCCAAAGAGGGTAATCAATGTCCAGATGTTCTTGCAAATCTTAGTTTGGGTATGGAAGCTGTTGTTCATACTTGGACTGAGATGATTGATGGCTTAAGGCTTTTATGTTTAGCAGATGCTTGTGGGTTTGGTTTTGACAGAGGTAGTTAGAGGGTTTCTGCTAGCTTTTTTTTTTTTTTTTTTCTGTTTTTCTTGTAATTCTGCATTGAGCTTTATGCCTCATTCTCTTACACACAAAATAATGATGATGATGATGATGATGATGATGAATGAGATTTGTAGACATAGGCGGACCTATATTACAATGCCCCCACTGAAATCTTTGAAATGTGCATAGCTGATATAATACCCTTTTAAATTTTGTTCCAGATACTTTGGCACAACTTGGGCCAAGTCATTTGCAAGATCATACAGCACAAATACCTTGAGAATTTTCTAAATTGACGATAGTATAAAGAGATAATAAACTGAATCCAAAAAATAAATAAATAAAGAGATAATAAATATAATGGCAGTATAAAACAAATCCAACATTGCAAAACAACACAATCCAAGGCATACAAGTCGCTAGAAACCAAAATGAAGAGGGCAGAAGTATAATAGACAATTACACACCATTCAAGCAAAAACTAGTTTGAAAAAGAAGAAATTAAACTTAATCTGTAAATATTCCCAAATTCAAAAGTGTCAATGTTCAAATGATTCACGACAAGATTCAAAGCCAAATTAAAATGAAAAATTTAAAACAAAGCAAGAACAACCATGCAGGGAACAGATGATGCGGGTGACAAATTCAAATAGATTAAAAGCACTTCATCAGATTTTGGGAAAACCCTAGAGTTCGAACCTTCTTCACTACTTGCTGGAGAACAACCTCGCAAGACTAACGCAAACGGCGTCGGACACAGTGCGGAATGCTTGTTCGTCGACAGAGAAAAATGGATCCGCTCCTTCTTCCTACGAGATTGTGTTTCGTCGGGGTTCTAGCAAGTAGAGGTTGGGAAAAATTAACTGCTCAAGTAACAAAATTAATTATAAGTGTTATTATTTTTTAAATATCTTCTATTATTATTATTGTATATATATTTCAATTATTATTAAAAATATTATTTAATATTATTATATAATTATTACTCATTATTATATTATTTATTTTTTTGTACATATAATGTAACCTTCATTTTAATAATAGATACAACATTTTTAATTTTTTTTAATTTTTCTCTCTTATTCTCTTTTTTAAAAAATATAATAAAATTCATTTTATTAATTTACATTGCTCTCAGTTAGGCCCATTTTGTAAGTTTTTTTTTTATATGATTTCATATAAGGCTGCACATGGGTAGGGCTGGCCCCTACCTGATGTCCAACCCAAATAATTTTTTACAACCTGCTACCTAACCGTGCCTACAAGAAGCCTTAACATTTTGGGTTGGGTTGGGCATGATGGGCACCTTCGGGCTGTCTTGCCCAAGTGTTACCACCCACTCATCATTTGTGAAAAAAACTTCACTTAATCATACCTAATAAACAACATTTTAAGAAGAAAATATATGTAATAATTTAACCCAAAATAACATCCCTACTCCATCAATCCACATCATAATCCAAAATAACATCCATAATCCATAATGTAATCCAAAATAACAACCATAATCCATTAAAACCATAATCCATAATCCAAAATAGCATAATCAAAATAGCTCCTAACTCCAACATACTACTACTTTCCATTCTGCATAAAAGGATATGATGTAAGTAAAAAGAAAAACATAATTCTGACTCCATGTAACAATTGTTTGCCACTACTAAAGTCATTAATACAAAAACTGACTTGTCATTTTCTTACTCTCCTTTTTCCTCTTTTACCCTTTTCCTTTCCCTTTTTAGTTTTTATTTCCCTTTTAGAAGGTTGTCCTATCCTCCTCTCATAATTCTTCAATTCTGAAAATGCTTTTATGCTATAATATATCAAAGTTCTTGTAGAGAATAATAGCTAAATTATAGTTTTATGGGCATCTTTGCTACTATAGTAATGTTTTAAAACTTGGATCAGACAGCAAACTAGAAATATCAACCGATCACGGGTCTCATGGTTTAACCAGCCGAATTGGTAACCTAGTAATCAAATAAAAATTACACACACACATATATAACAAATTGAGTAGATGCAAGAATAGATGCATGTTCAGATGATGACATTTTCTACAACTAAAGAAGTAACTCAAAAAAAAATCAAAATTAGACAGACAATATAGCCTTCCTATTTTCTATTTTGTCAATACAAAATTATAGAGCAAAGTACTAGACTCTCGAATGCATCAAGATTTAGGCGTAATCACTTGGAAAAAAAAATAAAACCTCTATTTGCAATAAGCAACTCTTATTAGACAACAAAAAACAAATTCATCTTCATCCAATCAGCAATCCTTCGTTTTGCTGTAAACAACTCATACAATAAAAAACAAATTCATCTTCATCCCTGCAGCATTCCTTCGTTTGCAATAAACAACTAAAAACAAGTTCATCCATCGATAATCCTTCATTCCATGCCATTCACAGCCATAGAGATTAGGCTAAACTAGGCAGAGAGATAAATGAGGGAGAACGAAAATCTCACCAGGACTGAGAGAGAGAAAGAGAGAATGATTGACGAAGAAGATGAAGAATAAAGAAGAAGGCCAAGCTCGACGCCGTTTGACTATTTCCAATAGCTGCATGTAACACTAGATTGAACCAAGAACGCGAACAAAAATGAGGAAAGTGAAGTGAAGATGAAAAATGAAGAAGCGGCTGATAGCTACCTGAGCGAGGAATTGAGGATGAATGCTTGAACAGTGAAGATAGAAACAAGAATCTAAGATGGCTGAGAAGGCGAGAATGTGTGCAATGTAGACTGCAGAGAGACAAGTGAGATTGACACAAAGAGAGGACGCGTGAGAGATGGGTGTTGGTGAAAGAGTGAGGAAGGGTTTGGGATTTTTCAAAATGCCAATTTTATCCTTTTTATAACCCGCTTTTGAAACACACAAAACCCATTCCGGCTTCTGGGTCTTTAAAACCCATCTAATTCTAAGTAGGCCAACCTGAACCAATTGTTAATACGAGTTAATTAGTTAAACGAGCTGGCTTTCTTCAACGAGTGATGGTCCGATCAATTCAACTATCTGAATTGATCTAAGTTTAAAGCATTATTCTATAGCAATTCATCAATCATTGTCCCCTCATATCTTTTTTAACCAGATTCTAAATTAGTGAAAAATGGTTAATCTAACCTAACCCCAGATTCTAAACATAACTTATTAATATATATATATATATATATATATATACATCTCTAAAAATTAAAATAGCGTATTACAGAAAACACAAGAATAGCATATCATATCAATGATTTAGCGTCAATGGCTGACCCAAAAAATGGAAGAATATTTTAAAAAAAAAAACATAAAACTCCACGGACACGAACTGAGAAGGAGGCAAGGAGCATCTAAAGAGAGAAATGGACTATGAACATAGAGACTATGAAGTATAAACATAGAGTCAGAGACTATGAACAAACAGCATGGAACTATGAATAATAACATGAGAACAAGAGAGAGATGGACTTACCGGGAAGGAGAGAAGCAAGCCGAAATTGTTAAGGAGAAATAGAGGTGGAAGTCACAGTCTCACAGAGCAAAGCACTGCTCATCTCAGTCGCATGCTTTGCTCATCGTAGTCGAGGTCTCGTGGAGATGAATGTTGCAGTCACAATCACTAAGATGGACAAAGACGCCGCTGAGTGGGAGGCAGTCACAGTCCCGCGGAGATGAAGGTCAGCAAACGCAAGCGACAGGGGAGAGTGGGCATGGATTCTCTCCTCTTCCTTCCCATCCTCTTCCATTCTTTTTCCTTTCTAGCCATTAGATCAATATTTAAATAGTTTATATTTGATCTCCTATAAAATTATTATTAAAATATTAAATTATAAAAAATATAAACAACAAAATTCAAACTACAAAAACTTAATAAGAACAATTTAAAAATACAGTAAGAGTAAAATAAAATAAAATAAAATGTTTTGAAGGAGATCAAATTTGAATTATCTAAAATATTGATCTAATAGTTAGAAATTAAGAAGAGGAGGGAAAAAAGATGGGAAGGAAGAGGAGAAAATTCTTTTTCAGCCACTAGGGTTCGAAAACAGGACTCAAAAATTTAACCCTCATTTTCACTTTACTCTATTACCCTCGCTCTCTTAGGCAGTAAGTCAGTAAAATTTTTTTACAAAAATGTAAAAGTTAAGTAGTCAGGTTAGGCCAAACATGCAGGGTAGCAGACCTTTTCGTTGCTTGGCCTTATCGCACATTAACCTAGCTTGAACATGCCCAAAATGTGTTAGGCTACTTTTTTTTTGGGGTCGAGCTAGGTAAAATTATATCATGTTTGGGCAGGCAAACTAAGCAATCGAACTTCATCAACACCCCTAATTTCATATTTCTTTTTTATTTATTAAATGAAGAATACTTTCAAAAGGTACTTTTTTAACCGTGAACAATAAAAATTAATGAACTGTGGTGTTTCTTAGATATAAGTTTGAAAGGTTGGGAGCCTTGATGAGGGGAAGAGGCTCTCCACTTTTTTTCTGTTCATTTTTCAATTATCACCATTCATCAAATTTATTATTAAAATAAATTTATTCAATAAAATCAAATCAATGGTGATGATTGAGAGAAGAAGAGAATAGAAGAGGAAAAAAGTGGAGAGGTCCTCTTTGATGAGTTAGTATTCGATGCAGCGGAATTTGTCTTGCTTGAGTTTCTTTTCTCTTCACGGCTTCCATTTTAGATCCTTGACTACTTTTATGGGTGCTAAGTATAACGCTAGATGAAGATCAAGGTCTCAAAATGCGAAACATAGTACAACTGATTTAGGGCTAAAAATCTAGGCCGAATTGGGAACCCTTGAAGCTTAGTTGGTGTTGGATCATAAGAGAAGCTAGAAACAGCCCTCAAACCCAAAATTGACCCTACGAGAAGGAAGCACAGGGTCCAATAGAAACAACTCCCATGTCGCAGTTTTAAAATTCTTCTTGTTAATTATTAAATTGTCAGAAAAATGAACTTCAATCGATTAGCTTATATCAGTGGGATTTATTTAATCAAATTAATTTAGCTCCTTTTTAAGACCCATTAAAAGAGGACGAACATTAACTTGATCCTGAACCTGAACAAGGCCTATGTCTGTTGAGCTTTAAAAAACACTCCTCTAAATCTATTTATAAATCATTTTTAACATATTTTATTAAATTTTTTTTATAAAAAAAATGTTTTATTGAAACGAAAAAAACTATAAACCTCATTCACTTTTAAAATTCAACAAATTTTCACCTTTATTTTTAATAAATATTCCTAAACTTCATTTTATTCAAAGTATTTAACAAAAACAAAAATATAAAGAAAAACATTGAAAACTAACAAGTATTTTATAAATAAAATCAAATTTTTTCTCTCCTCCCACCTTTATAAATAAAACAAGAGAAATGCAAAAGTTAAGTCACAATCTTTTACCATTTCAAGGAGACGACTTGCGCCAGAATCTCTAATTTAATGTTAAAGGTCATGTAGTTGTTTTTATTCCGATAATTTTCCCAAACTTAAATTTCTCCAAAAGATTGAACTTTTTAACCCAGGTAAGACTCACGATCAGGCCTCGAGTCTCCCGTGTATGGTTCCACCCAGACGCAAGTCAAAGATCCCGTGAGAACTTTCCTTCGCATTCCCCCCCCCCCCAAAAAAAAAAAAAAGAGTGAGAACTTTCCTTCGCACACTTTGATCAATGTAAAAAGTTGGTTTAGTAATATAAAAATTTGAATAATACACTAGAATTGAGAATGAATAAACTCGGACTTACAATCTCCCTATCAAGGGAAATGCACTTGAATGAAGCATCTAAGTAAACTAATTTCAACAATGAAAAAAATTGAAAATTTTAACATCAATTTTTTTTTTTGCCTAAAATTAAAAGTTATTTTCCTTTCCAAAAAAGATATTTTAATTGTATAATAAAATGTAAATTTGAAACTCTAATTATAAGATTGATTCCCTCAGGCCTCAAGTGACTAGTGAGAGAATCTAAATTGGGAAAGATCCGCATAGGATGATAATGAATGAACTTCCCTTTACTCCCAAACAGATAGACGTCAAGGCCTTGAAATCATGGTAACGAGCGTTCCCTAAAGAACAGGAATCACATAGAAGAATATTTAGCAACGTCCAATCATATCCTAATTCCTACAATTACATTTAAACAGTTACCAACACAAGAAAAGAGTGAAGAACAGCCGCTATAATATTTGCGGACAGAAAAGGGAAGGATGTGAGGGAGTGTGGGGTTTACTAGTCCAAGTCCAGGAATTCCATCCTCTTCCTCATTGTTCCTTTCAGATCTGTAGCCTCCCTTTCTGCTTTCTGTGCCTGCATATTCACAATCACATTCAAAAACCAAAGGAAATCATTAACCTACAAAACCCAACTGCATGAACTATCGGCTGCCACAATCAATGTATTTTTTATGCAAATGCCATAAAAATGAATCAAAGCAAATCAAATCAAAATCAACCCTAAACAAAACCAAAGGAGTATCAATCTGAGAACATTTACCCTTCTAATTTCTGCAGTTGAAACACGTGTCATATGTGGGGGAAGTTCCTCTTTTTCCAAGTCCTATAAGTGGGAAGAAAATTATTTCTTAAATTGAGGTTGAGACATATACAACATTTACAAGCAAAGGAATCTAATCAGTGAACATACCAGCTCACCAATCAAAACAACATTCTCCCCACGGATTACGTAGAGGCCCAAAGGGATATCGCAATACAGATCACCAACAATAACCCTCTCACAGGCACCCTCAAGAACAGCATTAGCTGCATATCATCAGTATGAATATTTAGATGGTCACCAACCATGTACCATGTCAACACTTACATAATAGGAGGAAAGAAAGTTACCAAATTGATCAAAAGAGCGAAGTGTTCCCAGTAGCTTTCTACCATCTCTCAGCAATACAAGAAGTTTCTCTACAACAACAAAACAGTGTCAGGCCATTCAAAACTGGCACAAAAAACAAAATAAAAATTCAGATTCGTCCACATTGTAAAACCCCGATCAGAATTTACAATCATGATTGGAATTTTTTGCTTTCAGAACAATCTATAGACAAACTTCCTTGCATGATGATTTGCATGCTGCACATGGAAGAGGCATTGTTACATAGAGCATATTTATTGAAAGCTCGAAGAAATCAAAATTCAGATTAAAACTATTTTAATCTTTTCCTACCCACATAATAAGATAAACAGTTCATTCTAAAGCATTCATTTATCCGCGAGCTACTACAAGAGTCTGGCAGTATGAGGTCAAACAACAACTATCAACAACATAAGATTATAAAAGGCTTGTGTTTATCTGGCTTTAGCAGTAGTGATGGAAATTATGGTATCCTGGAGGAAGAACAACAATAGATTATTATGAAAAACAAGGTCTCCAAAATGCAATGAAATAAGAAAGAGGCCGAGTATTGGACTTCAGTCCAAATTTATCATGTTACCCTGCAAGTCATAAATGTTATCTCCTAGCATGTCCTCATACAATGTTTGTTATTTCTCATAAATAATCATACATGAATTTAAGCCCTTCTAATGAAAGTGATGCCTCTCATAATAGTTACATTTCATAATTAGCAGCAGTGACTTGTCACAATTTCTCCGAATCCAAGAAATTGAGCATTACTAAGTTCTAAAACTATCAGTAGGAAGCGTCAGAATCATATGTTCACGACCGCAAAGCCCCAAACTAACATACATGAAGTGAACCCGTATCATCTACTATTGAAATTGTGCCCTCTTCCCTAACAAATGATTATGATTAAGAAAATAGTCAAGGACGCACAATTCTAACTGATAAACTCTGAAACATGGCTACCACAGATTCTTGAAAATCTTAGATCACACTAAATTGTGGGCAGTAACCGTGACACAAAACTTTCAATCTTGATAAACCAACCAAGAAATGAAAGTGTAGCACTATAATCCAAAATATAGACTACAGAGTACTTGAATGTAATATAAAATATCGTACGGAATCTGATTTCATAATCAGACCCGATATGACTCTGCTTTACTATGTGGACTACGATTTTTCAGAGAATACTTCCAATGTTTATCAACATGAAAGAATGCATAAACAAAGAGCACTCACTGTCAAGATAACTGGCGAGTGAAGTGGAAAGGTAGATATCCTCAGGGCCTGCCCAGGACATTGTTGAGCTCAAACTTCTCCGGTATCTCAAAAGCCACCGAAAATTTCCCTAGAAACCACTCCAATGGCATTGGCAGCACCAACTCGACTCTGAACTCTGAAGCAACCCAAGACTTCAAGAATATGAAACCCCAATTCTCGAAAAACCACCACAAAGCCAAAGGGAACAATAATTAGAAAGTAAAAAAAAAAAAAAGAAAAAAAGAAAAACCTAACTTTCGGCTATCTTACAGAAAGAAACTACTTCGAGTTTCCGATCGAATCACACAGAATGACTTCTTATTAAGGGGGCGGAAAAAAAAAGGAAAAGAAAAGGGGATTCTCGTCCCGATGGAACTGCGTCTTTTGTTTTGGGAGGGGGGGGAGGAATAAACACTAAAAAGGCCTCAGATCCAATCGCAACGTAAGAGTTTTGTTTTTTGTTATTTATTCATTTTTGGTCAATGCACCGCAACTCCGCAATGGCTTGAAGGGAGGATTTTCGACTTTTTTGGAAAGGAAGAGACTTCTTGAGAGGGCAGAGCTAGAAAATGCCGGAAATTTTGGAAGGAAAAAATGGTGTTACCTGGTTTAGCCAGCTATCTTAATTTCTAGGGTTTGGACTTTGATATGGTGAACGCTGGAGGGGGTATGTAATAATTTTTTGGCTTGCATGTTCAAGTTCAATTGATTGCCGATCGATGATTGCGTGCGAGAGTGGGAAATGGAACTGGATTTTTATTTTCTCATTCGAATAAACTACATTTAAGATTTATTTTAATTTTAATTTTAATTTTTTATGATAACTACACATTTCCACTAGTTAACTAATGCTTCTTCTTTTTCTTCTTCTTTTTTTAATAAGAAACGCATCCTATAATTGGTCAACACTTACTTTTACTACTTTTTAATGTGATTTAGATAATAAAAGCTCATCTCTCATTACGATTCAAAATAATAAATTTTGTGAGACAATGAGAAAAGTTTGACGAAAAGTTTAATAACTACTAATGAGCGTAGTCATTTAATTAACGATGAATCTTTTAACTCAAGATACCAAGACTTTCATGCCCAGATTTATCATTTTTGTCCACCATTTCTGGATATAGATAACGTTTTTTATTTATTACTTGAACTATATATTTTGGTCTTAAAACCATATTGATATCTTACTCTTTTCTTTTAGGCCGACTGATATCTTACTTTCTAATATTATTGTCGAGGCGGTTTAAAATATCAAAACAAAAAAAAAAAATATTGATGAGGGGATTTGAAGTTTATAATTCAAAACATGATTTTGTTGTCAATTAAATAGGCATCACTGATGACAAATAATAAATCACTAAATTTATGGCACCGGTCGCAAAAATCTCCTGGTCTCATATTGGACAGGGACTGTGACTTTTATTTTGTATAACTTGAATTTACCTGTAGGAGGTCATAGATAGAGCTTGTTCAGACCCAACAATGAAACAAAACCATACTGAACTACATAATTCTGAAGATTACTCATCGCCAAATCTTCTTAGAAACAGAGAATCTCACAAAGCAGGAGAGAAAAAAGTGGTGTGACGACTAATCATAGTATAAAGTGTTCAGAATGTGTAGCATTGTGAGTGCAGATGACTACAAAGCTACGATTTTCCGTAACATGAGTTGCTCTGCATCCGCAGAAACAACCATGAAAAAAGGAGGAAGCTGGCACTGCTAAGTGCTAACAAAACAGAGCTTTCGCATTTGCACCTGCCAAGTTGGTGCAGTGTCACACATGAACTCTCCCCTTTAAAAAACTGAGCTCCACTCCATAATCCCATCTAGTTTTATGTATATCTTTAACTTGTTGATTGAACCTGAGACCCGCACAACAAAGGTTGTAAACCTGCAAATTATTGTGTGTGAAGTTAGATATTGCTATACTTGGATGTACAAAACATGGAAGACATTAAGTTAATACATAGACGGAGGGCATTAGGATCATCTGCTGTGTTAACAATCTAATTTAGTCAAAATGTAAAAAGTACAGATAAAGTTGCACATGGTTCAGTTCAAATGGCCATAAAGTTTTTTTTTTTACTTGCTGATACTGTTTGTTTGGATTAAGAGCTAACCTTTTACAATTCTTCTCTGTTGAAGACCTCTTGCTTTACTTATTGTTCCCCGAAACTTAGTGCGTGAAATCAATCTTCATTTATGTGTAGTTATAGAAATAGGAAGGTTCTTAGATAACTCACCTGAGCATGTAATAAAAAAGGTAGGAACTACTAGAGGTAGATTTACATCTCTAGGACGATATCTGCAATAATACAAGGATCTCATTAGTCTATGCCACCCATGCTCTCATTTTTGGAATTTTCCAAGACTCACATAAAAACTGCATAGAAATTTTATTGTGGACTTACATTCAGAATCAGTCTTGACCCATTTACAGCCATCATCTGTTTTCTTCTCTGTTTCTTCCTCATTCCTCTGTAGTACCTTCTTGTCCTCTAGGCACCTCTTCATTGAAGATGACCGAGAAGAAGTTTGAGAGTATATTTTCTTGTGAAGAATTGTCCTTAAAAGCTGCATGGATCACAGAATTATACCTTAAAGCTAGCTCAAGAGACTAAAGTGCCCAGGGTTCATGTAGCTCTTATATTTAAAGCAGCGCAATTTAAAACACAGGCTCTTATTGTAATTGTATCTTATACGGCATGCATTAGTTGCATGACACACAATACAGCACTTCAAAATATGTTAAAACAACATATTATTTAATCAAATCATAGTGTTCACATCATATCGTAATATCGAATCAAAATCTCTTCCTAATACCGGTGACTTGCTGGACAGCTGCTCAGTACCGCTCAGATATTGGTTTTCTCATCTTTCAAATTCATGAATCTAAAGAAGCAAAGATTTGGAAGTAATATAATCGAGCAGGTGGGTACCTTTTCCATTTTCGATTCTTGTAGGATATCTCTAGGATTTGGTGGCGGCGCAAACCCGCTTGTACAAACGAACAATTTCTTGAGTAGGAAAGAGATCGGCCTCTTCCCAATTGCTTTCTTGGTATTATCTGCGCAAATGTCCTTGCATTTACCATGGATGACACCAAGTGTCTTCTCGATATCTTCTCCTTTATCATCGGACTCACTGCACAGAGCATCACTGATCCTTCGATTGACCTCCAAGGAGGATGGGCAGTTGAGAAACCTATCTAGAGGGAGTTCGGCGATCTCCTTCTCCACATCGGATTTTCGTCGCAAGAGCTTATTAAGCTCTTTCTGGAGGTTCCCAATTTCCTCAGGAGTGAAATCTACTATTTCATCCGATAACGATGATGGATCGTCTTGCCCATGAGCGTTTTGGGTCTCTGGATTAGCTTTGATTTCATTCTTGTTCCCGAAAGTTCCTATTGCTAGCAAACCATGTGGCCAATCGCTGAATTCTTCTCGGGCCTCTTGTTTTGCGCGATCTGTACCCACATGAGCGAACCAGAAAATTGTTAAAAGAGTCTCGAGGGAAGAATAATAATACATTCCACGAAATAATTGAATTATTAAAATATTGAAAAATAAACATACAAACATTTATTTAATTTGGTTCCTAAAATTAAATCAAATAGGAAAAAAAGGATCGCTTATGATAATCCAAGCATCCATGATTATGTGAACATTAGTGAATTTACCATTTTGTGACTATACTTCTCTTCCAATCACCATTTTGTCTACTGATGTTTTAAGAACTTAATTAATTAATTTTCTTTGCTATTACTTATTATAATTATTATTCACTAATTTTCTTATTCTATTAAAATATGGGAAATATTTTTGTTTAATATTATTATTCTACAGTCATTTTGTTTTCAATTTTACTCTGGATATTTGAGAGTTAGCACACCATGGGTCAAAATTTTTCATTTAATAGAGTACATATCTTGATAAGACTTCACTAAATTGTTCATGTGCACTCCTCTCAGCCCTTCTGAGTTTTGACTATATATTGGAAAATTTTGTGAAAAAAGCATTCAAAACCTAATTATATTATAATACTATTATTCACGATATAACTATCTCCTTCTCGTTGAATCATGATATCGACCAGCTATCCAATGCGTTTTTTTTTTTTTTTGTGTGATCAATACGTTAATTGGAGTTTTCTCTGTGACGAGATTTGAACGTCAAAGCACGTAAATTAACTTAAAAATTACCCAACATAAAATGCCAACAAGGGAAAAAAAAATTCTTAAAACTGGGTGTACGCATCTTATATTAGACACCACTAATAGCACTCGATTAAGTAAATACCAATCTTTAGGTTAAAAAAAAGGGTATATATCAAACAATAACGAGTATATTTGGCCAAAAAAATGGCCAATGTTGGAGGAGAGAGAACAAATAAGCAAGAGAAAAAAGAATAGAAAGAAAGGGCACCGCATTTTATAAATTTAAACCTTAAAATTGTGAATTTAGACATAGCTTCACCGCTTCAATTTTTTTTCCCCCTAGTTATTCTCTCTCCCTATTTCCAAACGGTTGTCTCTATTCCTGACATGAGGAGGCAAAGAATAGAAAGAAAGATATATACAAGTGAGGAGGGGCTTACAGTTACAGGTAGTGTGAGGAATTCTGGTGTCTTGCTTCCCACCGAGTTTATGATGCACCCAACTGAAAAACTGCAAAAGAAAAGAGGCCAAGTGGAGATACGCACGTTAATTAACAGGCTTCATCGACATCAATAGAGAGTAATTAAATGAAAAACTTGAATTCATTGATGGTGTCTGAAATAAAGAGCTTGCCTTCATTGTGAATGATGAGAGAGAAAGGCTGGCTGGCTTCTGATTTCTGAGAACAGAGAGCAGCAATATATATAATAACGTGACGGTGTAGAAAAGGTAGTTGTGTTGTGCCGTACGTGGTTGTTGCTGGACAGTGATAATAAGATGGCGAGAGAGAGAGAGAGAGAGGGGTAGAAATCTGGAAAGTGATAGAGAGCGTGAGGGAACAGCCAGGGCGCTTTATCGAGTGAAGAGGAAGCAGATCTCATTAGGAGATGGGACAATTATGACGTAGAAGGACCTTACATATTTTAAATTATTTTTCAAGGACCTTGATCCTTTACAATAAAGTCCAACTATTTAAAAAAGCGAATGAAAATCCCATCCTCCCTTCCTAGTTCCTCCCGTGATTTTTCGTTGCCGCTGTGACTTTTTAAGCAATTTTTCAAAACTAGGGTGTCTCCCTTTTCCTCGCTCTTCATTTCCTTCCTTTTTCTTTTCATCATGATTAAATCAAAACTCTTCAACAATTGATATCTAATATTTAATAAAATTATTATTATTATTTTATATAAAATATAAAAAAATATTATAATTTTAAATTACGTGCATTAAATTTTAATAGTTCAAAATTATTTATATACTTTTATGTAAAATTAAAATAATAATACTGGAGAATAAAGTAAATGAAGAGACCCCTCTCCTAATTTTTCAATGGCAAAGAGATGAAATTTTATGTACACAGGCATGCATTTTTTTAAAAACATTTACAAGTCAAATTAAAAGAAAAACTAACAATGACACTTCCATATTTAAACGTCAATTATAGGTTTTTAGGTCGAATTCAATTATATGTAGGTGTTTAATTAACAACACATGACACATTTTAAAAAAACAATTTAGAATAAAAACAAAAGAAATTTAGGGGTTCGGCAACTAAGTAATTCTGCTTAGTGCTTCCATTTATTATCCAAAAAAAAAAAATTTAGAAGTTCTAGACTTGAAAGCGGCACTATTAGATTTCTTTTATTTTACTTAAGTTTCTTAATAAAAAAAGTGTCTTGGGTTATGAAAACACTTATAATTGATCAGTAAATCTAAAATTATCATTATTAAACTTTTTTATTTTTGACTTGTAAATATTTAAAAAATTGTATTCCCTACTTTTAAAAAATGTAAGGTATTTTTAATCAAATCTCACCCTCAATAAAGTAGTTACCTACTTTTTAACTAACTATATATTTACATTAAATATTTTATAATAAATATAAAATTATCATCAATAGCTGTAATTTTTTTAAAAAAATAATAATTACACCTCAAAAGATTAAAAATATTTTATATTTTTAAATATCTAATTTTTTAAAAAATATTTTATATTTTTAAATGAAAAAGGTATAAAATTTCATTCTTTAAATTTAACCATGGAAAAGTAGTAGTCCATGACAGTGGATAGTGATAAGGTTGCTTGTGACGGTAATGTTCCCTCGCGGCCGAAATAAGGGAATCAAACATTTTTTTTTAAAAAAAAAAAAGGGTCCAAACATTTTATGTTTTAAAAAAATGACTAAGGTTATCAAAAATAATTTCAAAAATTCGAGGTCCTTCAGAATAATTAACTTCTAAAATTAATCATTTGCCATAATTTTCTCTTAAAAGCCAATGAGGAATGAACTTTGGGATTAGAAAAGGGGGGAAAAATATTAAAGAAATGTGAGATATCAATATATCACCTAAAGGAAAATAAGCCACGCCAAAAAGTTTACTGCTCTTGACTCATATCCCTATATCAATGGATAGGGACGGCTTACAGTTACATGCCTTGCATTGGACTTATCGCGTTTTTGTCTTTTTTTTTTTTTTTAAGTCGAACTTAATTGATGACTTTTGTCCTTTTAAAATTGAATTTTAAGATAATATTTAAAAAATATTTTTTATATAAAATTTTTAATCAAATCTCATTTTAATAAAATAATTATTTATTTTTAACTAAACTTATCTTTTTATATTTATCTTTATTAAACACTATATAATAAATATAAAGTTATTATTAATAAGAATACTTTTTTAAAAAAATAATGATTACACCTCGAAAGAATAAAAATACTTTATATTTTTAAACATTTAACTTTTTAAAAAATATCTTATATTTTTAAATAGAGGGAGTATTATTTTGATCAAAACACTTCTGCCTAATATTTACATTTAAACGCTTACTTTTAAAAATATAATAATAATAATAATAATAATAATAATAATTTATATATATGTATATATCATTTTATACACACACATATCTCTTTATTAATATATATATATATATATATCTTTATTAAAATGTTATAGTCATAAATATTATGTATATATATTGGTAAATATTTTTTGCCTATTACAGGATTTAAGCATCTATATGCAATACTGCATCTCTAGCGTCTTAAAAAAAATTTAAACATCTATAAGCGACTATATGTTTCCGAGAGCACAGCATAGAAGAAGATCTACAATATCAAATGAGTAACATTTTGACTTTTAATTCCCTGATTAATTAAACCTAATTAGGGTAATTAAATAAATTGAAGTGGTGTGTGGCCAGAGAGGTCTAATAATCATGTTTGATACTATTTAAGTCTTAATTGTAGGTTCAGTATCAAGACAGACCACCCGAGTATCGAAAGGAGAAGAAAAAGAAGAGTTGAAGCTGCTGTGCCACATGCCGCGACGCATAGATCGTCCACTGCAGTGCACAACCATTTCTGAGCGAGGAAGGACCTCTCTGTGCCATGAACCACAACGCATGGCCATTTTTTGTACTTTATCAGACGCAAAATGAGACAGAAGAAGAAAAAAAAAAAGAGAGAAAAGAGAGGCGCGTCACAGCTTTGCTAGGGTTTATTTGGGGATCACTTTGAGAGTATTTTGAAGGCTACAAACACCCAAGGTAAGTATCATACTCATTAATCTCCCCTTTTCTTCCACAATTATGAGTTTATGGTTAGGGTTTGATAGTGAAAGTGGGATGTCGATCCATATAGGATATGGGTTCGAATTTGTTGACTCAAATGGAGTTAATAAGGGAAAATTAGAGTATTTAAACTTAGGTATAATGAGTTTTGGTGTTTTGGGTTGTTGGACACCATAGATACTTGAAAATCCCATTTATTATGGGTGGTTGGAAGTTTGGGATGCCATTAATGAGAATTTAATAGCTCATTTATGCTATTGGGGGCTAAAGGTAATTATTAAATTCAATGGTTAGGCTCCACCTTTTGTAAATTGAAAGTTGGGCAATTTAGAAATAGAGATTGAGGGTTCAAATGTTGGAGTTTGTTGTGTTGATGGAATTCAACTTGATTGATTGTAGTTTTGGCTCTTAATCACCTATTAGAGTGGAAATCTAAACTTGAAAGCTAATTGATTGAGGGGTAAACCTTTGACCTCTTAAAGGTTTGAGGTAACCGGGGAAAAATCTACTTTGGGTAGTTATATGTTAATTGATTGATAATTGGTTGTAAATGCTTACATGCATAGGATTGGTTGTTTAAGTAAGAACTATATATTAGCTTCTTTAAGTGCATGAACAAGCTATTTTTAGGCTTGAAAATGCAAGTGCAAAGTTAAGAAGATTGTATTATAAATATGCCCATATTTTTTGAGAAATGAATGTGATGATGTGTAGAAATGCTTTTGTGTTAATAAAAAAATGAATTTTAAGAAAAAGATGAGAATACACACTTAGGTAGCGCAAGGTCGTGAGCCTAACATGATTGTTGTAATAGTGAGTACATGAAAGTGAAAAGTGAGTATGGTTTATGGCATGATCAATGGCGAGAGTTCGCCTAGAAATTTGAGAGTAGAGAAGATCCATATGATAATTAGGCTACTCTCCGGTACACAGGGGCTATAGCCTTGTCCCACTGTTTGTCGAGGGACTGTCCCATAGTTTGTCGAGGGACTAAAACCTAGCTATCTCCACCAGTTTAATGAGGAAAATAGCCCTAAGGATTCAAGAATGGGGGAAGCCATGGTCCAAGAGCGAGTCCTGTGATCTTTGGCTGGGTCACATCTCACAATTGGTGAGCTTAGGTAGTCCAGTCATACGGACGAAGCCCTAATTAGTGTTATAGCTCATGATTTCAGTCTGAGGAAATAAGGAGGATATAAGGTTAGTTGATCATTGCCTAAGTAAATATATGACATGTCACACGTGCTAAATGGTGGCAGGTCGCAAGAGTATGGATCATGTCACATATATGAGAATATGATGACAATGCACCTAGTTATGTGAGTGAAGAAGCTATAGAGTGATGAATGATAAATTGTGATATATGTGGACTTGTTTTACATATTTGATCTCTCTGTGCATGTATTTGTTTTATAATTGATATATAACTGCATAGGGTAGGGCTAACCTTGGTTACTGAGTAGCCAGACTCACCTTCTTATTTAATACTTTTTAGGTTTTAGCTCTGGTGTTAAGAGAGAGAAGACTAAAGAGGCAGGGAAATTAGCATATTCCTACTGTATGTCTCTAGTTTAGCTTTAATTATGTAATAGTATTTGAATTGCCAATTTTAGAATGCATATTATCATACTTGCACTATTTTGGTTGTTGGAAATGTTAGAATTGTATTTTGGGCCCTTAGCCTTTGTGTATGTTGTCATATATAGGTTTATAGGCCAAAATACTGATACAAGTGTAGAAATGAAGATTTGAGTATGTTTTGAATGATTTGAATTAAATGCAATGCCAATTTATCTCCCCCTTTGTTTTTGGCACCCATTTTGTGTAAAAGTGTTAAAAAGTGGTTAAAATATGTTTGGGTGTCCAACTTTCTAGTGTAATATGTTTTGGAAGTGAAACTCATGCCATTAGTTAGTATAAGAAAAGAGCTCTCTATAGATACGTAGATCACGTCATTCAGACGTCAAATGGAGAATCAGGGCGAGTCAAAAGTTCCCCTATTTTGCTATCATTTTGATAGCAAAACTAGTGAAAAATTTATGCAACACGCCATGGTGCATGGTGCCTGAGGTATAGAGTACATCCGCCACAGCGCGTGGTATAGAAAGCAACATGCCACGGTGTAGAGTACATCCGCCATGGCGCATTGCTCTGTATTTCAGTACATAATTTATTTTCAACT